TACGTGACTGCAAATATCAAAACCAGGAAATTAACATTGGTATGATCCCATGAACTAGACTTTAGGGTATCTGGTTTTTAAAAAGCACAAATATTTTGAAGTCACAAAATAATACTTTTAAAACACAAATAGTTTATGTCCTGGTCTTGGGTGAGGAGGTCGACCAGGAGTATAAGATACTCTGAGAGCAGTAGCTAGGCTTGATGCTGGGTAAGAAACACCGACGGGCAGTTTTAAGAGACTGGTCCCAAGCTCAGGGGCGTGCCCTAAGGAAAGTGGAGAAACACAGCCTGGGCGGAGGGAGATGGGAACTTGCTGTAGGGTTCAGTGGGACTTGGGCAGCCCACTTTTCATCTGTTCACCCAGACCCCCGGCTGTGGCCACTGAGGAACGTTGTCACAGCCTCATAATGAGACATGTAAGTCCACTTGATGGGAGACAAGTGTATGACACTGGCAGAAACAAAGCGATTTTTTTTTTTAATAGTTGCTTTTTTTTTAAGACTTTTTTTTTTTTTTTTTTGACAGAGAGAGACACAGCGAGAGAAGGAACACAAGCAGGGGGAGTGGGAGAGGGAGAAGCAGGCTTCCCGTGGAACAGGGAGCCCGATGCGGGGCTGGATCCCAGGACCCTGGGATCATGACCTGAGCCGAAGGCAGATGCTTAACGACTGAGCCACCCAGGTGCCCCACAAAGTGATTTTTTAAATAGACTTTATTTTTTGGAGTCTTTGGTTCGCAGCAAAGTTGCGAGGAGCATGGAGCGCTGTCGTATATCCCTGCCCCACATGTGCACAGCCTCCTGCATTGTCCACATTACTCGCCAGTGGCGCATTTTGACTAAGGATGAACGTGCGCTGACGCGTCATCATCTCCTAAAGTACCTAGTTTACCTGGGGGCTCACTTTTGGTGTTGTGCCTTCTAGGACTTTGGATAAATGTGTAATGACGCATATCCACCATTATAGTACCCGACAGAGTAGTTTCACTGCCCTGCATCACCCCGTGTTTCTCCTGTTAACTGTTTCTCCCCCCTAGCCCTTGGCAAACCATTGATCATTTTACTGCCTCCATAGTTGTGCGTTTTCCAGCACGTCATGGAATCATACCATGTGGAGCCTTTTCAGACTCTGCATAATATGCACAGAGGTCTCCATATCTTTTCATGGCTCGATGGCTCATTTCTTTTTTAGTGCTGAATGATACCCCGCTGTCTGGATGGCCCACCGTTTATTTATCCATTCACCTCCAGGAGCACATCTTGGCTGCTTCCACTTTTTGGTGATTATCAATGGAGCTGCCGTAAACCTCCCTGGGCAGGTTCTGAGTTGGGTTTTCTACCCCCTGAGGTGGCATCGTGCGGGCATCTGTGTCTGTGTTCCCACTGACGTACGAGAGACAAACATAAAAAATTACCCTCTCTCTTGTTTTTGGATGGATGGTGAGGTAAGGCTTTATTTCAGTCTTTTATTTGGTGTCTCATTTCACTCTCTCAGACCTGGGATTGTTAAAGGAGTAAATGATGACACGTTGTGTCTAATTAACAACTTCTGATGGCTCCCAGCCTGCTGCAGCTTGTCCTCTCATTCTCTCACTGGGGAGGAGGTGGGTATGGCATGGTTTAAAGGTTGCAGTCTGGCTAGCTGGCACAAGATCTTGCAAGTGGGGTTTGCTTCTTGCTGTTGTTTAGCCCCGTTGGGGAACGGGGGTAAGGGTTAGATGACGTTGGCCAAGAGGGAAGAGCGTGTCATGGAGAAAACCGTTTCCACCATCTTTCTCTGAGTCTCTGCCTCGCTAAAGAATTCTCTATAAGCACCTGCACCAGGCATTACTGTACAAGAAGGTCTTTCTCTGTTCTTTTCTGTCCGGCAGCTCAGAGGTTCTGGGTGAGAAGGTCTGAGGTACAGTGCAGTCTTCCCCTTCACCAGCCTCCACCCAGCACCCTGGGGTTAAACTGTGCCCATCACGAGTCCCCTGGGGAACTATCAGATGTCTGTGTCAAGTCAGGGAAAAGATTTAATAACCGGCAGTCTTGACCTTTGACCTAGTTCCTTAACCCCTCTCATCTCTAAACTTCCCCTTCCTCCATTAAAACAAAGGGCTGACTCATCTGGAAGGTTCCATCTAGCCTTACTTGTGCCCTGGACCATGGAATCTTCCCCAGTACTTGGAGCTGTCCTGTCTGCCAGATCTCACTTTATTACAGACGTTTTTATATCCTCTGCAGCCGTTTCTGAAGGACTGCACGTCTAATCCCCAGATTGGTGACAGGGGAGTTGGTAGAGGATGGACCCATTAGCAGAACTAGGGAAAGAGTTAGGAGGATGTCTAAATCAGTAAACTCTGAACTAGTACATTCTTGGAATTCAGTTGCAGTGGGGTTGTTTATAAACGGTTCTGCAGTGAGGCAATTTTGTCCTCATAAGCACACTACCCTAATGGACTTGAGGGTTGTGAATGCCACACCCGTTCTAGCTGTCCCCTTGCTTTATTCTCAAGCGTGAAGTCTTCCTTGAACCCCACCTATTCCCACATTGTTTGCACTTAGACCTCAGAAGCTAGGGGGTTAAGTGAACTTCCGTTTGCCTGTCCCCCCATCAGGTGCAGGCGGTGATGAGGAAGAATTTCCTCTTTACTCCGGAGCCATGGACACACAAGCCCAAGGCATTGTGGACACACAGGCAGGGCAAGTGAGGGGTCTGGTGGCTGGTGCCAGTGCTTACTGAGGGACTTCAACTGCCCCCTGCTCTCAGACCTGGACCCTGCCAGACACATTATCTAGGTCAGGACGTTAAAGACGGGCCTCCCTTAGCGAGGACCCCACTCTCCCTGAGCTGAAACCCACAGCTGTTTGCAAGCTTAGAGGTTGGAAGAGTGCCACCTCGCCCCGTGCCCTGGCTGTGTGCAAAACACCCGATGGGATAGTAGCAGGCACACAACCAGGCACTCCGATTCTTCCCGGAGAGGCAAGTGTGCAAGCATGGAGGGGTGCAGCCACTCGCACGCGCACAGCGGGCCCCCTCCCTGACCCCAGCGAACCCCAGCCAGCAACTTTCCCGAGGGCTCCAGCGCTCGTTCGCTGCTGTTTTTCTCTGGATCAGCCCACTCTTGTTTCAAGAGTGGAGGGGGACTCTCCCTGGGGCGTTATAGGGTGTCATCTCTGGCATTTGCTCCCACTGCAGAAAAACAAGTCCCATGCAATGCACTCGGGTTTCTGAACAGCTGCCCGAGCGCCGAAACCAGACAGTCAGCAAAGCTGTCAGAGGGAGAGCAGGGACTCCCGGGGAGGGCCGCGGCGGGGGGAGGGGGGCTGCTGCCCGGAGCGCAGTCGCGACGCGGGGTGGGGGTGGGGTCCGGGGTACCCGCGCCGCGGGCTACGTTGGGGCGCTCGCGGCCCCTGGGCCGGCTGGGGTGCGGAGAAGGGGGGGGAGGGCCTGGCTGGAGTGAGGGTCGGGGACACCCGCGCAGTGGGCGACGCTCGATACTCCCGGCCCCTGGGCGGGCTGGGGTGCCGGGAAGGGAGGGAGGCCCGGGAGGGAGGCCCAGGAGGGGCGGGGCGGGAGCAGCTGTGCCTGCCGCCAGGGAGCGGGCGCGGTCCAGCGGAGCCGAGCGGGACGTGAGCGACGTGTGGCAGGCTCTGCGCAGACTGTTCTAGAGCAGTGTGGATTTCAGGGAGCGCCGCCTTCTTCCTTCCAATCACAGCACAACCTCAGAGTGAGCTAGGCACCTCTGCAAGGCAGGGCACTGCTTCGGTGCTGATGTACGGCGTGCTAAAGCCACATGCGTGGAAGACCACTATGCGGGCGGCAGTCCCCGCTAAAAGCACCCCGGATCTTCACAGGGTGGGCACTGGCCTGACCACACGACTGTCCCATGTCACTAGCTGGTGCAAAACTCCGAGGACCGTGGAGGCAGGAAACACACAGACACACCAAAAAAAAAAAAAAAAAAAAGGCGAGGAAGGGATGTGAGCTGTGCCGGATAAATGTCATTAATTTTAGGGGTTTGCCTAATTAAGGTGCCACCTCCCAATAGTTTCCTGGGGCTTACAGTCAGGTAATGAATTGCAGGTCGGAATAGGCTCTAGTTTTACTTACTCTTCTACTCAGAGAGATTAAGGTTTATTGAAAATACTGTAAATGGTGACAGCGAAGACCAAGATGACTCGGTCCATTTCAGTCCGGCCTCCGGGGCTTTCCTGTCCCCTTCTGGTGCCCAGCCCCTTGGGCCTCTCAGCAGAGACGCTGGGGTGGGGGGAAGGGGGAAGACCGGGTTCCAGGTCTTAGGGCTGGGAGTTGGGGGAGCAATGTGCAGCACAAGTCAAGTTTTCTAAGGGATTTAGGAAAGTGGGCGCGGTGAGGAAGGACGACCAGGGAAGCCCCCTCCCCGTGGGTGGCAGGGGTCGTGCTGGATGAGACTCACAGGTATTATCAGGGAGCAGCTTTGGCAAGGGGTGACCCAGAGACCTATGCGACACAGGCGCTCTCGTCATCTCCCTTCTGGCTTCTCTCTAAGGTAGCAGAGACCCCCACCCCCGAATCCCCCAACCTCTCTCCAACCTGTAGCCCTAAGCCCGGGTCTTCAACTTGACTGTGCCTAACCTGGATCGCGTGTTAAGAATGTAGAGTGTTGGGGTCTCACGCCCAGAGAGGCCGAGTCAGTAGGATGCATCCAAGGTGATTCGGCTGTGGGAGTCCACGCACCACACTGGACGGCTCCGCTTCTTTCTTCCCAGCACCAGTGAGGTGATTATTCTGGGAAGCTGTGCCAGTCATCTTTAGAGGACGTAGGAGGAAGCTCAGAGAGTGGGACTTTTCAGCCAGAGCTGAGTTTAGGGCGTCATCAGAGGGATTGAAGGAGCAAGGCGCGCTGCTGTGGCTGACCTGCAGGGGGCGCTAGCAGGTCCCCTCCTGGCTTGCCCACCCCCACGTGAAAGAGGGCTGGATCTCGGAGAATGCGTCCCCGCCCCGAGGCTGACGTCTGCGTAGCTGCCGGTCCCGACTCTTAAAAGCCCGGGCGCCGAGCGAGGCATCCTAGCAGAGCTGGAGAGGCGACAAGCGGGAGACAAGGCTGTCGGACTCGAGCTGGCACCCAGGGACCGCGGCTGTCACTGCGCTCCGAGCATCCTGGTGGCTTCCCGAGTAGACGAGCCCGGCCCTGCGGCAGCTGCGGGTGCAGCCCTAGCACCCTGCCCTCTCGCCGCTCTCGTGGAGCCTCACACCCCGGACAAGCGTTCGTGATTTAGCACAAAGCACGTTTCCAAAAAGCGCACGGGAGAGCTCCCGCGCCGCGCTCCCGCGCACGCACCCCCCCTTCCCCTTTGTTTCGGGGGTCGACAGGCTGCTCTCCTCCCCAAGTCTGAATTCTTCGCGGGGGGCGGAGGGCCGCCGAGTCTAGGCTGTGAAGATGCCCTTGGAGCTGACTCAGAGCCGAGTGCAGAAGATCTGGATCCCCATCGACCACCGCCCCTCGCTGCCCAGATGTGAGTGCAGATTCGCGCGGGGGCCGGGCTGCAGGGGAGCGGCGCGCCGCGTGGAGAGCCAGGCCATTGTGTGGCGGGCGCTGGCGGGGCGCTGTAGTGCCGACTCCGCTCCTCCGGCGCGCTCGTGCCGGGCCCGGCGCCGTCCTC